GGCCGCTGTCCCCGGCGGGAAGGATTTCCCCCGCTGATGGGATATTGCTGAAGGGCTGCTTCCTTTTCTCTTTCTCAGATGAGCGGGACGCCCCTAGTCGTGTTTTAGTTAGAAGAGGCAGCAAACGGTCTCTTTCTATGTGCTTTCTCCATGTTTTCCGTGACACGAAAACATCTCACCTGCCTATACGTTTCACCTGTCATCGCCACCTCCTCAGCGGTCTCTCTCCTGGCTTGGTCCCGTCCTGCACAGAAGACATCCGCTGCCTTTCATCAGCATCGCTGGTTTTCCCTGAGCCTTTCGGATGTTGCAGTTCGTTCCCCTATTGCCTTCCCTTAACGGCAATTCTCTGTGTTGGACTTACTGTGGTCAGGTTGCCGACCGTTTATGGCAAACAATGCCCTTTAATTTCCTAGAATACAGTAAGTTACTGTTTCGGCAGTTTCTTCGAGGCAGCCTCACGCCAGGGCAGGCCGGGCCGTCCCTGAGCGCTACTGAGCCGAAGCCGGGTGTCGAAAGCTGGCCGAGGGAGAGAGAAATACAGGATGGCAAGCGTTTCCCTGCGTGCAGGGATTGCTGCTTACCCTGCTGACCAGGACAGGTCTCTGCTTTCCATCAGCCTGTGTTTTGTTTCCTATATTTTAATTATAAGCTCTCCAGGGTTAGGGACCATCCTGTATTTCTGGGCTTGCACCCTGGCAGGATTGGGATTCGATGGAGCTGTAATCCTACCGCTACTGTTAATATTGGTAGCTGCTTTTCTCCTCAGCAAAGGTTCGCAGTAGGTGGCTCAAGGTTTTGCCGCCAGCTCTGTGATATTTAACATATTTATTAACCCGGGTACAGGGTGAGTCGCTATTTGCTGATAGCATGCTATTTATTTAAATGATTAATTATTTACATGTTATTTAGGTTGACACTGGTCCAAAGAGGACTTTAAAGAGCTTCAGAGGACCTTGAGCCACACTGATGGACGCTACGATGGGAAATGAGATTTGGAGGCAGAATTCACTGCAAGACGCAGTGGACGATATCGTGCACCTCAAAGGATTTCAACGGACACCACTGAGCTAGAAAAGGGACCGGGATATAATCATAGCTATCGCGATGAGCGCTGCTGTTCCACGGTGGCCAAAAAAAATTAACAAAAATAAATAAATAGGCAAGCGTCGCGGGAGATTGCTGAGGGAACGTGAGCAGTATGAAAACCAGGGACGATTAGGAGCCGCTCCGGTTCCCGGGGGTGGCCGGAGCTCCCAAACAGGCACGCGGAGATGAGGACGTCGAAGCGCTCCCAAGCACTGGTTTCCTATGAGAGGTGTCAAGGAGCTAGAAAGAGAGCTCGACTGCTGTACCCTGCGAAAAAAAGCACTTTTCAATGTGCTTTGAAAGCCACCACGGTGTCGGTTTGTGGAGGGCCTCCGAAAAAGAAAAAGGGGGGAGGGGAAAGGGCGTGCCCCTTTCGGCCCCGCTGCGCCGAGGCCGCCCCGCACCGCCCGAGGACTGAGGGGATCCCCGAGACACGTTTTGAAAGCGCTACTTCTATTCAATCGCAGAAAGTCCGCAGACGTACACAGCGGTGGGAATGAAGTCGCACTTGGAAACCAGGACTCGATTAACGTGACGTGGCCCGTTTGCTTGCAGAGCTGTAAGGTGCCTCAGAGCAACCCTGCGGGTCGTTGGAACAGGGATCTGTGCTGATACATTTTTAAGGCTATGAGGGTGGCTTCTTCTTTTTTTTTTTTTTCTTGGATAACTATTTTCAAGTTTGTAATCAAATCCTTAACTTTGCTACAATTAAATTTTTCCCTTCAGCTTGTCTGGTGCTAAGAGAGATCTGGATTAGTCATGGCGCGCATGAGGCCCAGGGTATCTCCAGAAACAATGTGTCCACGTAAAGCAGCTCTTGGTAAACACTTCTGACACTGGCACTGAATGCCAGATGTCAATTTGGGGGTGGAAAAGTCGAGTGGCAAGATGGGGAGAAAAGCCTGACCTGGGAGACGTTGTTTAACACCCTCCCGGCAAGGAGCAGGGAGCAGAGAGGTGGCCTGCAGCGCCCGGAAATCCCTTTTGCTCGCCCGCTCCAGTTCGAGGAGAGCTGGATGTTGGAGAAGCAGCAGCTGGGAGAGCCCGCTGGGAGGAGGGCTTGGGAAAACTCATCCGAGAGAGGGAGAGAAGAGGGGGAAAAGTGCTCTCCCCGCGATCCGTGATGAAACGCGGACGGCGGGGTGCCAGGTCCAGCTCCGCGCATGGCTACAAAACTGCAAGGAGAGATGCAGCCAGGGGGGAAATTTCAACAGAAAGGGGGGAGTTTTCCACACAACTCGCTGTGGTGCGTGTGTGCGTGTGTGTGCAATTAAACGGCGACAGGCCGCGAGCGCGCAGCGGGCCGGCAGCGCGGCGGGGACGAGGGCCGCTCCCCCCGCTACGGTTAG